TCAGAATTGGTTAAATTCTGGAATAGTCATGGAAATCACTTTCTGTAATATTTTTATTTTCCTTTAGAGCAACATCTCTAAAAATAGAATTCAACAAGGTGGTTTTTTTTCCCTAAACTTTTTGACAAATATATTGGACAGCAATTTTTTTTTCAGTAGGTACCAGGTGCACACCTAATGATCCATCTACTAAGAGATGTCTTTTGGCTATATTACTGCATAATCAGCATCTTTTACTTTTTTTGCCAGTGGCATCTACCTGATTCATGCTTTATGTATTTAATTCAGAAGGCAGTAGTTTGGGGCATTTTTCTTTGAACAATATTTACATAAGCATTTTAATAATATGAGATATTGACCTTTAAAGTGGCTTTTATGAAATTTCAAAACACTCTGATATTTGTATAATACAAATTAAACTGTACATTATCCAGCAGAGAACATAAAATTGTCATCAGAGACAACTGCAATCCACTCTTAATGCTTTTCCATACTGTAAACAATATATTTTAAAGTGAAAAAGAAATTAGCTTGCTCATAATACAAATACATATTTAAATCAAGATCTCTATTGACATAAATTCTTATTATTTTTAATATTTACTGCAAAAATTATATTGTCATATAATTAAGCATTTATTTAACTCAAGTGTAAATGCATTTTCACTCCATTGTCCCTCTTAACATACTTTATGTTGAAAGTTAAAGACCTGTTAATAAGTGTAATATATGAAACTTAGTAAGAAAGTCTGCCTAAAGGTGCAATAAAAATCAAGATTCAGTGAATGTTTTATATAGTATTCTTTCTACCTCTCACACTTGCTTGAAGCCAAGAAAAATATGGAGTCTTTCTAAAGGTTAAATATTTTAGCATTTAGATGACTATACAAGATCATTAATTTCTAGCCTTTCCAATAGCTATGAACAATAAAGTTTAACCTCTAAATGAACAAAGCTTTAGCTGCATTGCAGGAGCTGCAGAGATGAAAACAAGCCCTAAACAATTTTCACTGATACCTAAATCAAATGCAAATGGTTTCAAAGTTTATTTATTTCTCATTAAGTCGTAGTAGGGATTTTTTCCTACATTTATGACAAAAGCAGAGATTAGGTCAGTAATTAGTGACTAGCTGAACTTCTAAAAACCTAATTTAATGATTTTTAAAGAAAAAATAATTCAGTGGAAAAGCTCTAAGGCACAGTGAGGGCACTAATTTGGCTCCATACTGGTACACCGAACTCATGCTAAAGAGATGAAATGACAATACTGATTTCATATGTGATATAACAAATAAACATCAATCGATATTAGAAATAACTAAAGACTTAATAACCAGAATTAGCAAAGATAGATCTCGACTAACCTTTTATTTCTTCTGATTTACCTGAATTATTAGAAATATTGATTTTGTTTAACAGGTACACTAGCCAAGAAAAAAAAGTAATTTGTCTTTATATTGGCTGCGATAATACATAGTTTTATCCTTGTGTCAGTATAAACTTAACTCTAATATTGGTAGTTTCAGTTCACTTAAATCAGTCTTTAACAAACATCTTTGAATACAAGAGTGGATTTTTTCTTTGCCATTTTGCAGTGTGCTTTATGGAATTATCACTAAATTTCCACTTTGTCAAAAGTCAGGTTTATGTCACCTGAACATATTTCTCTATTTTAGTGTTAATCTTTCCTTTTGTACTCAAGGCAATTGCAACTGCAGTTGCAACTGCAATTGTAAGGAAGCCATAAAAGTCGTGAGACAACCTGAGGGAGAAGATGATATGCAGAGCTATACTGTAAGAATTAGAGTTAAATCACAAGTGTTACTGTGCTTTGTATACACTAGACCCCTAACCCTGGCATTTATTATAGCAGTAAGCCACATCAGCTGCAAATAGATGTGCACACTGGTTTATGCCTTAGGTGTGTTATGATTCATAAAGCTGATGTTTAGAGATCTTCAGCCATCTAAGCAGCACACTAATAAACTCTTTAGTTATACCTTGCAGTTGCCACTACAGTCAGATGAGATTTGGGGATTACAGAGGCCAAGACTCAGGAAACCTGAATTTAATTCCCAGTTAACAAGCTTCGTCTGTAACTGTTGTTTAATCAGGTTGGACTGATATTTGCAAAGTGACTGTGACCTTTAAATGCCCACACTGAGTGACCCTAATTACCTCCATAACTTTCAGAAAACAGCTTCTGCATTGCATACTCAACCACCTTCCAAATGTGTTGCTTTGGGCACCCCCAGTTATACATTTATCACTTTTAGAACTGCAAGACCAAAACCCGTACATACTACATAGTCATATTCTGTAGAGATTTTACCTATTTAGAGAATAGGATGCTATGACTAGAACTGTTTCTTCTTGTTTGCAAACCACAAAGTTATGTGTGCTGATTTAATTGAGTTCTTGTAGGTACTGTGGTAATAATAACAAATTTGTTGTCTTCAACTGAAACCCAAATTATTTAAAGCTGCATTTTGAATTCAAATCAATGTATAATTTAATTACAAATTCTAGTACCACACCAATAGTAGGTTTTCTTCAGTCTTTGTAAGTAAATGGGTGGTACTAATAGATCACATTCAGAAGGATGAAGGAAAAAATCATGACAAAGTATTATGCCAATCTAGTTTTCCATTCCTTCCATGCAAAACAAATATTTAACCTCTCAAATACCATCAGTTTATCTACAGGTGAGTTTTCTTTTTTTGTGTGTGTGATTTTATATAAGCAATTTATTCTAAACACTTGTTACAAAGACATTTATTGTGTCCAAAAGATGTTAACAGAAAAACAAATTACCTTGAATTAAATTGCCATGTAATTTCCAGAGCAGTCAAAAAATTCCTACTTACTTCCCTGAAAATTGTGTACAGTCCAGAATTAATCAAACTACCTTTTAATATGCTTTTTATAGAATACATTGCAAGCATAGTTTTTCTTTTTTCTTTCTTTCTTTCTTTTTTTTCTTTTTCTGTAACACATAGCCTTACTGCATAATTGCAAAGCTGTTTTGAATAATTAAAAAAGTACTGAAACTTTCTTGTGGAATAAAAATTACAATTAAATCTCCATCCGTCAGCATGAGGATAGAAAAAGATTTTGGTAAAATGCTTATAACTTTTCAAAATTATTCTAGTTTGAAAAAATAGTCTATACCATGTTATATGCAATTATAATAAAATAGTATGATTTACTAAATTTCTTCCGTTTTAGCATAAGTGAAAATACTGTGCTTCTCTAAAACGCATTGTTTGCTTAAGTAAAAATAGGAAAAATAGGAAATTCCACTGAGACAATCTGAGTCTTGGTCAAGACAAATGGTTATTTATTAGACCAAGTCATGCATGGGGCAAGAAAACACCACTTATCAAAGTATATCATACTATCATACTTTAAGAAAATAAGAGCCAGTTGAGAATTAAAGATACTGGTACCAGAATGCATGCACTCATTCACTTTATGCACACATTATGACTCCTCTACTTTACAGCTGGCACTCACAGTAAGATGACATTGATGAATGTGACTGGATTTGCACTGCGTGTTAATCTTGAGTCAGAAAAAGATATTGATCCAGTAGCCTGTATCCACTTCTCACTGATAAACTTTTACACAATACATGCATCCCTTGGTCCCAGTCCTGGAACCACCTGCCAACAGCTGAAGCCCATTTTCTATACTGTGCTAGTGGATCTTCAAGATTTTTCTCGAGAATGAATGTGAAGAGCGAAAGCGAAAAGGTAAATTCCTAGCAGTACTACCATGCAGTTGGTTCCAGAAAACTTCTTCTAGGAATAAACGATAGAAGAAAAGCTCTGGGACCAGACAAGCGGCAACACTTGTTGCCAGCAGTGATGCTTAGGCACCTCTTCCTTGTGGAGACCGGCACATGATTGGGAACAAAACAGTAGCAGGATAAAATGCCAAAACGCAGGACTAAAAGCCAGGGTTATCAAATAAATGCAGCCTAAACTATGTCTGTACCTTTGAACTGTAACCAAAGTGAACAGTTTAGATTGGAAGTGATGATAGCCCATTATTCAAACACTATGTTCAGAGAACTTACTCTCAATTCTTTTCCAAACACTTGTTCAGCACACTGTAAAAATGACTGGAACAAGAGCTCCCATTTCTTGATTTACTGGTTGTACTTAAAGACTGGTGTACAAGCAAGTTACCTGCTCGTAACATGTTGAGTCTCCATTCAGTGGTCCTCTTTAAGTCATATTGCTTCTATTTAAGGAAAGCTTACATCCAAGACAGGTTGTGTAGTATCTACAGTAGTTTCTTATGTAACTTTCAGAAAGTATCTTCTTACATAAAACAGAAATGGTGGTATTTTGTTTTGGGATCAAATGAACTGCTATCGTTACCAAAGTTTTTTCCTAAGTATATCGGACTAAAGTTTAAAATAAGTGTTTTTCCACTGATGTTAATGTCAGTTGATAGGAAAGAATATTTTCATGTCTTTTTTGAACTCTACCATTTAGCTTCTCTACCATGTCCAAATAAAGTTCACTCGTGTATATAAATTGCCTAGAAACGTTACTAGAAAAATGGCATTTAAAAATGTTCAGTAAAACTTTTGGCAATCATTCCTTTCCATTTCTCTGTAAACCTAGGCCTAACCATGTGTTGAGTGAGATTTAACAGTCTTATGGAGTGAGTGTTTTTTTGCCACACAGACGGAAAACTTTAGAAATGCCACCTCCTTTATATAGCTACTGAGTAAGTTGGTGGAGTTCATTGCAGAGGTGGTGGTTTTTCTTACTCTGTAAAAAAATATGCAACAGGTTTTTATTTTTGGAGTTCTGTAGAAATAGTTTTTTAGCAGAAGGAACATTTCCTTCTGATGGTTTACAGTGATGTGAATCAGAGTGTGAAGGAAGAGATCTCTACACATGGTGGATATACTGCCATGAACAGAAGTGTGGAAAGTTTCTTGATTTGACCTATCCAAATTACTTGGATAATAGGAAAAAAGTGAAAGATAAAGCACCACTGGGATTATACCCACATAAGGAGACTGTGGTCTTCTCTTTTTCCTTAGACTGATATGTACAGCCAGGGAATAGAAAAATCTCTTAATGATAACAACATTTTTAAAAATTCTTGTGCGTTGAATCAGTACCATTCTTCACACATGAATTTTCAGACAATAAGCAAAGCTTCACTTTTTCTCACCTTCTCCTTTGTCTTTACTCCTTGATTCAACCATTTAATCTCCCATGTAGTCATTCTGTTTAATGACTAGGCAGTAAATGGGTAACTAACTAAACTAGAATGTTGACACTGTTCCACTACTTTCCACTGCCTTTTATGTAGTTGCAGTTCCAGCGCTCAACATAAAATCCAACCGTTTACAGAAGTAACAAAAGAAGTAACAGTTACAGTAGCAACAAAAGATCATTCTATAGAATCCAATTAAATGTTTCTCATCAGTAAATTAAATTTGTTGTATTTTCTGAATGTCTTTTGCTCCATGCAAATCAATAAATGTTTAAAAACAGTTATGCCTATGGAAAAGGGACACACACTAATACTGGTTATAAGGTGAATATGCTAAACCAAGTGTTTCTGTACGCTGCATTGTCTATCTCTTAAATACTACGTTTGATGCAAATGCTATCTTTAACTATTATTTCTTACATATGTCTGGAGGCTTGACATAGAAACAAAGTATCTGAAATTGAAAGTCCCAATATAAAGGGTTTTTTGTGGGTCATAATACAAAATAATGTTCTTCCCAGAATGTTATCTGTGCTTGTTTACAGATACCAGAGTGGAGGGGCATATTGAAGCTTATACGCACATATATTTTGCTACTATGGATTGAATGGAAAATAAGGGTAACAGAAAGAAGACGTACCTAGCAGTGTCAAGACACAAGCCAATATTGCTATCAGGGCTCCAGTGCTAAGTCCTGCAGGCAAGATATACGCTTCTGCATTGCATGTCTGAGCAATACCATCTGCATCACAATCACAGACCCTGATGGTGAGGGTATTAGTGCTACTAAGTGAAGGCGATCCACTGTCCACTATGAATATTGGCAAGTAGAAAACAGACTGTTCCTGTCTTCGAAACCCATTTCTTTTGGTTAATACTGTTGCAGTGTTATCTAGATAAAGGAATAAAAAGACAAATTATAAAATATGTGACTTTTCTAAAACACAAGCCTATAAAATACAATGGTCTTTAACTTAAAGACTTATAAACACATTTATATTATTTCAGCTAGTTTGGCTTTTGTGGTCATATATTTTTTGAATGTGCAGAGGTACAATTAGCTGAGAAATGATACCCGATTAACAAAAAAGATTTCTATTTTCTGTGAAAGACTGTTTAAAAATAACAGAGGTCAATTTGGTTTTTTGAGTTAAGCTCACAGTTTCCCACTCTTGATAGACAGTTGAAGATGAGATCATCATAAAAAAGAAAAAAAATTACCCTTTGGTGATCAGATTACGTATCTACATACATTCAAGTCAATTTGCAAGCATCTATATCTTATTTAAAGATAGAGATATTATATTAATGAAAACAATAACAATACTAACAGAACAGGTTCTGAAGATCAATGAAATATTTTTTAAATGCAAAAAAAGAAATCCAGTAAGAGCACAAGTAGACGTAATAGCGCATGTAGTAAAGATATGCAGTTGTTTTCAGTCTCTTCTGAAAATCAAGATGACTAATACAATCAGCCTAAAATGTATAGTTTGATGCTGCTCTGAGCTGTGGGATTAAAAAGCCCATGTCTTGGAGAAGCTATGTGCAAGTCTCGCTGTGTTCAATACATGTTGACAGCTCCTGCGAGGTACGGAGTTACATCTCCTTGGATGTACAGACCAAAGTTAGTTTGGTCAGCCTGTCTATCTATCTGCTTACCTATCTATTCATGGCCAAATATGCAATCATCTCTTCCTACAGCATCATATGAGATATGCATAGAATTAAGCATCATAATCTAATTATATCTAACTATATTAACTATAACATTAAAAGAGGGAACTGCTGCTCCGTTTTGTAACTCCAGTGATTTTACTGGCATTGCCAAAATCTACTATTACTTTTTTCAAATTATAAATTCTCTGTAAGAGAAATTTCATTAAGTACTTTACAATACTCATAATGATGTCAGATTTCTGAATAGTCTTATTCTACTGCATTTTTATTATTTTGATCATCATTACTGAGTCTTCAGTTTCTAACTTCAAGCAGCTCATATGAAGAAAATTAGGCATTTCAGTAACTACATGCAAGGTAAGGCAATGAAGACCTGCATGAGAGAACTTTATTAAGCCACATGTTATACTTCGTGAATCTTATTGAATCTGGCTCTAAAAAAAGTGTCCTCTAGCCTACCACGTCTGTTTTTCTTGTTTTACTAACAGGATGACTTTGTAGCTCTGGTTTAGTACTGATCCATAAAAGAGGAGTGCAAGAGCAATATCAAATCTATTTAGTTCTATTTGCTTCAGCTAATAGCTAAACTGACTGACACATGCCCAGCTGCTGTACTATACAGTGCAACTAATGAGGGCACTAATTAGAAGTGTGTTCTCAGATATTTTCACTAACAAAAATGTGATGTCAAGGAGAGTCTTTGAGGAAGCAGTCATAAGAAGTCTGCTCAAATAGTGCAGGCAGCATTCATTACCAAAAGCATTCTTCCAAAGGGGGTATACTTACTGAAAAGGTATGTTTTTCTAAAAAAAAAAAAAACAACCAAAAATCAAATCACAAAACGTCTCCATTAACTGTGCACTCCTGTTTTATGCCCAGAGTTATATTAATAAAACATGAAATCCTGAACATTTTTCAGTCGCTGCCCTAAGGTAAAATCTAATTTAGATAAAAACCTATAAATACAGGGAAAAAAAATGTGAAGAGTGACTGATAAAAAAAAAAGATTTAAAGATTTGAAGCCACTCTGTTTGGCTCAAGGCTTTAAATGATTCAAACAACAGCTTAATTCCCTTGACAAATAGTCTACAGATAATATTATTTTCCAGGCTGACTGTAGTTTAATTTATGTCCCTACCAGAAGAGTAGTTTATGTAGGTCGTAACGAGCATGCTGTATTGAAAATGAAAGGTGTTAGTGTTGAATATTTACAGAAACAAAATTTTCTTACCTTTGTTGTCCTGCAGTGTAAAATTGTGGTTATTTGCTGCCTCTGCTGTTAAACTGAAGTAGAACTGATGGCCATTTGGTGGGTCATCTTTATCAATTGCACTAATTTTCTGGATCACCTATTTTGAAATATGTGAGAGTTTCATTGTACATATACAATGAATAACCCCTCTATTGCCTATTAAAGTATCAATACTCCCTTGAGTCCTGATCATCTCCCATTTTGCTTTTATAATCTCCCAAGCATGTATAAACACTATTAAAATTAAAGTGTGACCCAACTCTTTACTTTATCTGTACCAAATTTACTGGCCACAGTAATGATCCACAGGGCCTGGGAGAAAGTTAGGTCCTGTCATTCACCAGAGCTACACAGAAGTAAAAGAAGTGTATCTTTTGTATGGTTCTTACTGTAGTTATCTGTGGCTGCAATCAATGTTGTAAACTTTTGCAAGGAAACCATTATGCTATTGAGCACTTTAATTAATTTATATTTCTTTAATGTAATGAAAAAAACAAAAGGCACGCCATAAGTATATTCATATTTTCTGGAATTCTGTCATAGTGTTTTCCATTAAGAATTTAGATTATAATGTGATTTTGAAATGTGCAATAAAAAACACCTGACACAGGAAGGCCAATACATTGGAAGAGGGCACAAAAGTGCAAAGACTTCCAAGGAATATGTGGGATCTGTGTGGGTGCAACCTGTACTAGTTTTCTGGGAGTCAAAAGAGAGAATGAGAAAATACATATATTTTGTGAGGTCTTAGCAAGTAGAGAGGAAAAGGCCAAATATGAGAGACACCAAGGATAAACAACAACATATAGCTTTAATTGAGTCTAGGGCTATTTGGAATACATTTGGGTAATTAAGAACACTAGGAATACATTCCCCTTTTGAAACTGTGTCCTTAAGGTCCCTACTTCCTAAGGGGAATAAAAGTGTATAACTCATTTTTGAGGGTAGGTCTTTAGTCACAGAATAACCTCTGTGTTACAACTTCCCTCTTCCCAGCAAAATTAGGAGGAAGTATGTGTTCTTAATATTATTCAAAATTAGGTGACTAGCAAAATCTGTCAGTTATACCCATAAAAAAGCCAGAGATTTTAAAAGTACCTTCAACTAGTAATTTTTACATCTGCACCTTTCTTACTATTTGCTCGTACTGTACATGAGTCTCATTTTTATTGTCAGAAGCTGATTTTTCTTTATCTTAAAGCTGGCAGAATTCCATAACAACTGGTTTTCTATCTGTAAAAATAAACGTAAAACCTATCAAGCCATACCTGACCAGGCTGAGCATTTTCACAGACGGTTGTCTCATATTCCATGGCAAATTCAGGGGCATTGTCATTTATGTCAAGGATAGTAATGGCTACATAGCCTCTCCCAATCTGTGCTGGATTCTCTATAGGAAAAACATTTAACAAAACAATAAAGAAGAGTTCCTTGCAAGTTATTCTTTGGGTAAGTATCCTTTTCATTTGCATTCTTCATTTGTATACATGTCAAATCAATTACAATTACTCTCTCAAAGAGAAAGGAAGCTCTTGACTTGGTCTTCTGGATCTACTGGAAACAATGTTTATGTGTTCCTACCATTTCAATTAAACTAAGGTTTTACTCTCAGGGATAAACCAAAAATCTAACTCACTAATCACAGCATTGAATCACATCATATGAAAGGATAATAGCAAAATTACGAAAACTGTCACCAAGGTACACAGCCAACCAGAACATCACTATTTATACTGGGAATAGCATGATTATTATGGGTTAAATACTTTTATTTTGCTGCAATTCAGATGGATTGGGCTTTTAAGAAGTTTAAATAAGAATTTTGTCAGCTATGTATAATAGAAAAAAAAGAGAAGGCTTCAGTGCCAAGCAAATCCCAAAATATTTAAAGTGCACAAACAATAAAGTATTTCAGTACTGTCATTAACATGTTCAACACCTTAAATACTAATCATTCTCAAACTGATGCACATCTTTAGCTAAAATATGAATACATTGAGGGTCTAAAGTCAAAATTTCAACAGTAGATGTGTTTTGAGCTAAGTACATCAGTGAGTGCAACACTTATTTTGCTTCTCTTGTTTATTACAAGCAGTGGTGTTAGTGTTAGAGCGAGGCAAAATGAAAAGCTATACAAAACTTCTACTATGTATCTATCTTTTTATAGGGTATTGCAACCACATTTTTGTAAATATTTTAGGTATTTAAATCAATGCATCCAAATGTAAATCGTAAAGCTTTTTTGTCTTCTTTTTCTTTTTATTTCACATGTGAAATACAACAGAATAAGCAATTTTGATATCAACTTCTTCCTCTGCTGATCTAAGCTTGCTGAAAACCAAGAAGGCTGTGAACATAAATTAAAGCAGTTTAAGGTTTTGCTTTTGCTCCTAGACATTTGCTTGTGTTGGGTATGTCCCTTGTCTAACTCATCAGTTTTGTTACTACCCAGAAATATTTTTGTTTGCCATTTTAGGCTCCTCAACCAAAATTCTACTGACAGTACAAGAGAAATTCATATAGACACTAAATGATAAATGTAAGTTTTCAGGTTAAACATTAAATTAAGCTCAGTGAAAGCGAGAAGAGAGGATTTTTAAAATAGAAGGCCAGAGAACTGATAACTGTTATTATCACAGCCCAATAGAGTAGTAATAAGGATGAAATCTGAAGAAATAAATTCATCGAATGTAAAGGAAAAAATATAGCATTCTCCAAGGAATGTATTCAAAGCTGAACAAGTTTAGATTTAAACTTGTATTAGCAAAATTATTGTATGCATTTGAAGGGTTATATTCTCTAACACTTCATCTTACACCAGAAAAAATATCAGGTACAAAATAACCTCTGCATTGGTGCTTTAGTCAGGAAAATGAAACCACATAAGCATCCACATCCCTTTTTCTTCATACCTTCTAAGAATTCTGTGGTTTACCAACACCAATCAACTCTGAGTGCCCCCACTAAGACTGGGTAACCACTCTCCTCTATATTCCGTATCACCTTTCCTGTAATGACAGTTGGTCTGAGACTGCTGACTTAACATTTTTCATCTTCCTTTATACTTGTTTTTCAGAAGTCAAAAGAATACACAAGGTGTGAAGCAAAGGAAAGAGCAAATACCTGAAGTGCTGTATTTTTAAATTTTTATCATATGAGTTTCTTTTGTATTGAGCAGTTGGGGATTTTTATCTGCCATGGTTTGAAAATGTAAGAATTTCTCTCAGTGCAGCTCATCACAACCAAACCTAAAGTTTTACACAAACACAGTCAACAAAATCTTTCAGTTGATACTTACGACTTTCCATGGCCAAAACTGTGATATTATGAATAGCATTGGTTTCCCTGTCCAAAGATTTAGCAGTTGTAATGACTCCACTGTTGGCATCAATATTGAAATACCTCTCCAGGTCCGTGTTTCGATCTATAGAATACCTAGGTAAAGGATGAGAGAAAACCTTTTATTTTTGTTCAATTAGAGCTTGTAAAAATATTTCATTTTTTTTTTATTTGAGGGAAAGAGTTTCCTGTTTCCCTAGTCTGACATTGTTCACTCCAGTTTCCCTGGGACATCGAGGGAAGTAAAGCCATATACAAAGGCGAGAGTGCCACAGTGATCTGTGCTGACAGTGGCAGGCCCTACTCCCACATTGTCCTATTAAGCGAGGTGATACGTATTCCCCTGTCTTTTATTTCTTCCTCTGCTGTAAGGCAAACTCGGGAATTAATGAAACAGTATCCTCCTGAAAGCCAGATAAGGAAAAAGTGAGTTGGAAGTTTGCTACAAGGCTGTGCCAGCCAGGCACTGATCCCATGGGAACTGACAGTCTGAGCAGAAGGGCCCATGAGTCACCCAGAGCTGACTGGGTAGGGGGAAAAAAGAAAGATGATGCAGAATAGGGTCAAGGGATTGCATGTCATCACTGTCAGCTCCCAATGCTTTACTGTCATCAGACAAATAAAGGCTCATGCCCTTAACTCTTCGGTTCAATATATCTTTACCTCCCAATTCGTTTTAGGAAGGGGAAATGAGATCCTTAGCAAACAGAAAATAGCATAAGAGAAAAGGTCAAAATGCCTGTGGGTGATTTGCTTGCAAACTTTTTGAGAAAAAGGTACAGTTATTAGGCAGATTTAGATTTACAACTGGAATATTCTCAACATTTGATTTAATATTTGGTCAGATTCTTGCACTCTCATTTAGGTTAAGTATGTACTCTAGAGCACTTCCCTACACTCAGAATGAATTAAAATGTCTGAATCAGATCAAGTGTGATTATTACAACTACTGTCACACTGATGATATATTAAATTACTGATATAAGAGTAACCAAATCATTTGAACAACTTGGCAAGGAAGAATTATGGATGACAGTTAAAAAACAGGACTTCCTAGATAAAATGATCTCATGGAACTATTTTGTTCTGTGTTGCAATATACCAGCTTTTTCTTTGTTGTGTTACCGTCTTTATAATCCATCCCTCTTGGCTGCATAATCTAAGAGCAGAGACTTGTTACACAATTAGAATTGTTTTACTGTATTATGTCCCAGTAAAGGAGATAATAGATAAACAATAACAGAGGTTTTGTGGATTACGGCTTTCCCTCTTTCACTTTTTCTTTTCTTCTTTCATTTTACATTAACTGCAGGTCGTTTTCACTTAATTTCCTGCCAGCACTGTTGTTTATTTGGTCAGCAGTGCTCTACAGCTGTTTTGTGGCTGGCAAGTTTCCCCATGAGACTATGCCTGTCATCTCTGCTATGTAGTCAATCTTGGCAGGCCCCATAGCTAGGACTCAATCTCCTGCCAGCCCTTAGATTTTACAATTATTAACACTATCACTATGCAACTTGAAGAGCCAAAGACCTTTCTCTAAAAGACAGTAAAGAAAGTAAGGGAAAGAGAAGGAGGAGAAAGAGGAGTTGGAGAGGTGAGAAAGACAAAAATAGAAAATAAAGGAAGAAAGCAATAAAAAGGAGGGAGAGAGAAAAGGAGGAGGGGAGAGGGAAAGCAAACAAGTTATATAAATTGGATGACAGATTCTTATGAAACAAGAAGAAAAAAAATTTTTATGCATAGAAAGCAAGCAGTTCTCCTTAACTTATTTACAAGCATTGTATCCATACTCAAATTCTATAAAAAATATATTTTAAATACTTTTAATCCTTTAATTCCTTGAAGCCATTAATACTTGAAAATCTTTGAGCTGCAGGAGTTTTAAATCCTTTATTTAAGCTAGTTCAAACATCAACAGTTCTCTGGTCTATATGAGATAACCTCTTATTTTCAAAACATTTATTATTTTCCCCAGCCCCCAGTATTGTCAGGGTTTTGTATCTGATCTTGTAATTTCAACATTTTCTGAATTATAACAAACCTAATTTTTAATCAGTATCAACATTTGGAAGTTGGAACAGTTATTTATAGATTAATAATTTAAACTTCTTAAACAGATCCTGCAAAGTTTTATGAATTAATCCTCCTTAACACATTCCAATTTTAGGTGAATCTGTCTCTGATGTATCATAGCAGATGCAGAACAGCTTTAAATTATATGGTCTTTCAGCACCTTCAACAATGTAAAGAGCAGATTCGCAAGCATATAGATAAATCCTCACTACTTTTCCCTTCCCCTCAAATTCCAAACAACTTCGAAGCAGAAGAAATCTTCAAGATGTTAGTTACACTGGTGATGTAGCTATTTTTTATGTTTGAATTGTAAGAATTAACCAGATCAAGGCAAATAAACTCATCTTTATGTTTACACAGGAGTTAAAAGTATTCTGAGCATGGCCTGCATTAATGGAACTATGTTTAATCCTATTCTAAATGATTCTGCTAAATCATATTTTACACCAGATGATAACATCAGTGCCAGAAAACAGTGCCACAGCAAAGGAAGAGCTCAGCAAACATAAATTTCACAAGTAAATACATGCCAACCATCCATCCAGGACTTGTTTATACATTATAAGAATCAGCTATTTTCAATATGTTGCAAGTATATAATGAAAGAGAGAGAACACTTGCATCATCTCTAGGAGTGAAACATATGCTTTATTTTTGCAACTTGAAATTGCTGCTTTAGAAATTGGAGAGCTACTCTAGAGTCCCAAGTTAATTTTCAATGCATGAAAGTAAAAATTTAACATAAACAAAATGGATAACACCCAAACAACTACAGTACCTGTGAAGGTCTTTTCTATGTATGCCGTAAGTGAACAACAATAACAAATGAAACTAAGTACTAACTTTCATTGTGTATGTGTTCCTCCTGCAGATGTTTAAATTAACGAAATTCCTGAGTCATAATCACTACTCTCTAGATCCTTTGCATGTTCCTTTGAGAATTATTATTACTGCTCTGCATAGGAAAAATAACAAGTAGCTCATTACTTGTTTAACTTAAGTGATGAGTCTTTATCCTTGAGCTTTGACCTTAGATACAAGAAAACATGATCCTGGACATCATATTGTGGAAAACTTGCAGGTTCTTCACACACTGAAGACAAAGAAAGAGGGCCTTGACAGTTCATGCACCTCTAATGACTGTATCTCTTTCCATTAAAACGGAAGGTATTTGTCTCCAGTAAAATTAACAAACCCAAAATATTATTGTCTTTAAGCATCCTGATTAGGACATGATGCATCTTGTCCTTTCCAATTCTCTAATGTAAAGAGTTTTTACTAATGTTTTCTTCTGTGGTACCTCAGCTCAAGTTTACCATGTGGGAGTCTACGTCCCATTACGTTCTTATTTCTAGTGCATACACAATCATTATTCACACACACACATACACATGCGTGTGTATCATAATTTTTGATCTTGGTTGATTTAAGGGAATATAATTTTTCGTAGATAATATTAGGCTCTTCCTAATCTTAGGGGAAAATAAATATGAGTAGTATTTTGAGGGTTTTTTTCCTTTGGAATCCTGAAACTATATCTTCTATTCTTTGTTTCACAGATATTTAAATACATACTTTTTTCAAAGGTTCTGTAGTTCAGTATATAAAATTCAAACCATGCAAAATCACAGAACATCTCAATCTCCCTCTGCAAGGGAACAAAGCTGACTAATTGATTCAGTGTAAATAAAGACCCTCCCACCACAAAATTAACACCTTCAATACAAAGGCTAAATAAATAAGTCATCTTACAATTACCTGACAGGACTATTTGAGGCATCTGGATCATGGGCCGCCACAGTTCCAATGATAGTGCCAACCTTTGCTGCTTCAGACACCACCATGGAGTACAAACGTGAAGTAAACACAGGTGGCTCATCAACATCTTCTACAATTATCTTCACTGTTGTCATGTCACTGAAAGGTCCCAGACTCAGGAAACGAGGATCAATATGCATATTGGCTGCTTCTATCCTCAGGGTATAGCTTGTCTTAGCTTCAAAATCCAACTCCTATACAGGTAAAGTTATTTGGAAATTTTATTATCCAGTGAAGTTGAAACAAAACTGTTTCACAGCTTTTGGTAAGTACAAAATGAACTTTGCTATTTGTATACAACCAGCAGTTTCAACTGACAGAACACAGTTGAAGACTCATTTTTTAGTTTTCTCAAAAACTGTATTTGCAGTGTCTCACTAATGAATATTCCCCAATGCCTTTAGCAGTAAAGATAGTTTACCTTGTGAATGATACAATTCTCTGAGATAATAGCAAAATTTTCCGTGATTTCTGTGAGGACCAAATTCTCACCTTTTATTTCACCAGTGTGAATGAATACTTTGTTTTGTCTTTTTAATATTTTATCTAAGATCATGGCAAATAGAACATGCCACAGTACCCAGATGTAAGAACTCAATATAATATTCACAGGTTATTTACAGGTAAAAGCATTTTGCTCAGAAAATTGTAGGTAGGATTTTTTTTTTGTGTTCTTTTTTTTTACTCCAAGCTCTGTATAAATTTGTGTAGAAAATGTGACAATTGCTTAAATGACATTGCTTAAATGACATTACTTTGTACTGAGATGCAGCCTGGAGATTGTTCTGGTTTGTTTTGCTTCTTAAGCAAAATGTACATTATTTTTTTACACCTTCCTTCTGATTTAATTTTCTTTATTGAAATTATAGTTTCTTTTCAAATAAATACTGCATTAGAATCAAAAATGACCCTAAAAGTAATGAGATATCTGCGATCTGGAGGACAGTCCCATGAAGAAAATTATTTTAGAGACAAAAAGCATCTTAGCTCACAAGCAATTACTGAAAGAAAGCATCAAGTTAATATTAGAACCATTAACCCCACATCTATAGTCTTGGTTTTTCAGCTTGTATTAATATTCAGCTAACTATTCCTTTGCAATTTCAAGTTCAATCATTAAGAAAAGCAGTAAAAGACCCAAGCACTTCTAAAGCTTCAGTCTGGTTACTCAACTATAATTCCAAGTCTATAAAACAGATTAAAAATGGTCTTCTGCAGTTCTGCGACTGAATACATCAGAGGGATCTGAGATGTGCTTGCAAATTAATCCGTCAGCATCTGCAAAACATTCCAGTATTCACTCAAAGGAGCAGCAGAGGTGAAACATACATCTGTTGACCTACAAGGACCTACATTCTCCATCAAGTTACAGTAGGATAAATCCCAAATGAGGATCCTAAAGTCAGAGATTATGCTGATGCTATAATACAGCTGTAAACAGTCTAGATTTAAATATGAAAAGTGAACTGCAGCACATCACACTCAGAAAGGCACTGAACTTTTACAAACTCTGTGTGGCAGCAAAAGGCTTCTCTGAATGGGAATACATGTGATCCTCACATTATGCAAGTGCTTACTTCTTGCACTGAGTCTCATGTTTAGTATCCATAGCTCTCTGAAAACACATATGCCATGAAAGAAAGATTCTCTAGATACTGGTTGCTATACCGGATACAATTAGTATTTATTACTAAAGTGTGTTTAATAATTTTTTTATTTTCACTCCGGTTTTAAAGTACAATATACATGTTATGAAACAAACCTCATAGCCGTAATGCAAACATAATGTGATGTTAGGATGACGAAAAATGTCTCAGAAACTATATTCTATGGTGGTAACAATTAGGAAACTGATATGACCAGTTGAGCAGCAAGGTTAAAGAGAAGACAACCAAGCACACATCTTAAGACTTCACATTTTCCCGTAAAAGCAAACTATTAACTAAAGAAATGATAACCTGAAAAATGTCAAAGACAAAAGGTCAACATTTGTTGAACTAAAAAAGAAACCACTCATCCCCAAAAAAAACCCCAAACCACCAAGCCTTTAGCAAAAAGTATATTTTCAGTCAGAATGTACAGAAGTATGTAGTGGAGAAGGGAAAGCTAATTTATCCTCATTAATCAGTGATATCTGTTGAAACTGAGTGATTGAGATTACAGTGATATGTAATTAAACACATGGAAACACATCCTCAGACTGCAGACAACATAACTCCTTTTGATATACTGATGTGAACAGCACAGTCATTCTAAGTAAAAAAAATATTAGGAAAATTCTGTTTTAATAGACAAAGTCATACAACACAATATGGGTAGCTGGACAAATTATACAACTTCTATTTTTCTAGAAAAATAGAACTAACAAAATAATGAAGAAATATTATTTTACTTAATTTTAAAATACTTCTATGTTTCTATAATGATTAAAGAATACTAAATTAGACCTTTATTAACTAAAATCATACAAATGTGTTTTTCGCGTGAATATTTATCATGAGGACTGACATGCACTTTTAAATCATCATATTTCATTCTTGTAATACAAAAAGAGAACACTCTTCATTTGACTGGATTACAGGAATGTTGGACTAGTAGGGGATACATGAAAAATACAATTTGATTAGAAAAGTATTTCCTCACAGAGAAGGATGCAAAACTATCAATGGTGTGGATGCATATTCTAAACAGCCTTCCTTAAAAAGAGTAGGTTTAACCTTCTCTAACTCAGCCAGGAGCATCTCAGAAATACACCATGATGTCCTTAGTGTGATCATACCAAAATTCTTCCAGAAAAAAATCAGTTGGTCTAGTTATGAATGTCTGTTTTTCACCAGTCATTAGTAAGGGAGTATCAATAATTGGAAGAAGTTAACATCTGCTGTCAGCAAAATGAATCCTGCCCTAGGATTTACTCAGATATCTTCCGGTACCCAATGCTGCTGACAATATCCAAAAGCTATAAGTATCCTTGTTAACGAAACATGAATAAATAAATTAAAAAATCCAACAAGTACATACACAGTGGAGAACAGTTGGTGTCTAGAAAAAGGTAAGTATGGATTTTACAAAGGGATTTTACAATATCTAGTGCTATTGTGTTATGAAGTGGCAGTAATGATGTTTTATTTCAGTTCTTCGTAGCAGAGCCTGTCTCTTGTGGGGTGTGGCAATGTCTAGAAAAGCTACAGTCATCATACTCTATCTGTTTATACAGGAAATACAACCTCAGATCCTGTGGTGAGTACAAGAGGTATCAGGTTTTAAGGCAGAATATACTCTGGAAAACAAACAGAACCCCTAAGGTACAATTAATATGCAAGAGCTCTTGACCTGGCGGAAATGTTTCAACATTTCTTACATAATATAATTAAGACATTACATGCTACAGACACTAATGAAAGACTGAGAAAGTGAACTAAAAAGATTTTCTTTTTTTTATTTCTTCTTATCTAATTATCACTGATGTCTGTTAACAGGCATTATTTAGCTGGCCTTCAGATCATGCCTTTATTATTTCCTGCTATAAAAAAAGGCACAAGATTCCAATAATGAAACACCAACTTAACAGACTACAAATCACTACATCAGTGTTGAAGGTTAAATGGACAATGTATTCTTCAGTCCTTCAGTACAGTGAATAGAGCTTGACAGCTTCATTAATGTCTGTGCATTAGTATTATCTGATTAGATCTTGTGCAGGATCCATTAATCTTTCCTTTTGTGAACTCTGATGGTTTTTTTTTAGTTTTTCCTTTTAAGGATTAAGAATTTTATACTCTCTGAAGGAAATTACAAAACAAGTCTTCTATATTATTGGGGTTGAATATGAAGTTATAACTCATGGAAAGCTCATTTTTGTAATTTTCATTTTTATTGAATGGTAACTTTGTCACACTGTAGTTTTTAGGGGTAAAAATCCCATTTTTAAGCTCAGTTGAGGTTTTATATTGAAAACCACATTACATCAAACAAATGCACACCATCTCTCAAAGGAACCATGGAAGCCTCATGTTCTTACATTCTAAACTCTGACACAGAATTGAAAGAAAAATTTCTAGCAGGAAAAAAAATGTTAAATTTCTAAAAGGAAAAAAATGTTAACAGTAATGGAAAGATAGTTTTTGACTCAAAAGCTTATGCATAAACCCTCTCCCCTCCCATTTTATAATTGCCAGTATTGCTTTTAGAATGAACTTGGGTTTTAAAATAATCTATTAGCAGTCACTGTCTATGAGAAAGTACTTTGTAACATTATTTTCATATCTTTTCCTTTAGCATTCAAAGTGATTCGTGATATTGGTGGCTGGGCTGTGCACTGGGGGGAGAAATGAAGGCAAAGTGAGCAAGAACTGTACCATGGGAAATCTTAATGCTTGTCACTTGCTGCAGTAAGACATTACAACCCTCTCTCTACAGAGTTTTCAGGCTTTATTTGGTCTTTTTTTCCTCTTAAGTCCACTAAAATCTCTCTATAGACTTTCAAACTTGAATCAGATTTCACATAATTTCAAAAAGTCACGTTTGATACATAAAATAAAAATATATCTTCCAGCCTCTTTTATTATTAAATTACCATTGCTACTTTAAGCACCAAGTATTTGATAAAGGTGTAGGTGGATAAAGAGGTTTTTATCTTAAGATGTTTTGCTACTAAGCTATTACTGTTACTGAAGTCTAACTATAGCCTGCAACTTTGTGAATAAAGTGAAATCTGTACTTATATGACACCCTTTTTAGTACACTATTTTTAGGAATAGTGCTTTGGAAATCACAAAAAAAATAAGGTTTTGTGTATGTATTTTGCTTAGAAAGTGAAACCAAGATTCCATTCATGTGTATTACAACCTGTGATTCTGTGAACAGTCAAATTCACTTGAAAAGTGTACACATACAGGTTTGCATGGACACTTTAGAATTTGCTGAATTAAATTACTAAATCATCATTCACTTCCATAAATGTTTCTCCAATTCTAAGATTGCTACTGCAGAGACAAATCTAACACATTTTTTAAAACTCCAATATATGCAGAAAAATTACACATTTTCTCCAAACACCCTCACCATCGTGAAATCGAGCTATGCAAATTATGTGAGTCCTTACTAGCAGAGCACTGATAGCAGAGTGTAAATTACAAATGAAACCACAGGAAGGAATTGATCCTACTCTACAGATGGAGAATTGAGTCACAGG